TTTATTCGTACAGAACTGGGGTACAAGCCAGAGATGCGGAGGGTGAGAGGATTCACCAGAAGACAGAGTGGGGTACAGAACAGGCAGATCGACGAAGTACACTGCTGAGGGGAGCAGTGGGCAGGTCAGGAGAGGTATGACAAGAAATGTGAAACACCTCCGCACAAGCCGGAAATAGAACACATGCGAAAGTGGCTAAGGCTTCTTTGTGCTATGCTTTAATCCGCTGCGCCACCAGGGAGGGCCCTCTGGAGAATTTTTTAGGATTCTGATAGCTATTCTGACACTTAAATTTCCATAACATGTGGTAGAATCCTAGGTTTTAATCCATCTTTTTTCAAATATTTTGAGGTTTATCTTCATCTGGAAGATGGATAGTCTATTGTTCTGAAGCATTCACCTTAGCCTCTCTCTTCCCTTTTCTAAGAAAATATTTGCTTACAAGCTTCCAGAGGAAAAAAGAGAAGTGAAGAAACTTCCCCCAAGTATCAGTAGTAGAAAAGAGCTGGGAGGGCTCTCTTACTACACATTCCTTGTTTCCATAGCCCAACTAGAACAATGGATGGAATCAGTGATCCTACGTGGATCACATTCTGTGTGCATCTGCCATCTTCATGTGCACAGGGCATTCATGGGTCCTATTAGGGACTATGATGGATTGGTATCCAAAATTGCTCAAGAATTTGAATTTTAGAGGGATTGCAAACTGGTCCAACCACTATGGAAAGCTGTGTGGAGAACCTTAAAATACTAAAATTGGATCTACTATATGATCCAGTGATTCCACTTCCAGGAATCTACCCAAAGGACACAAAAATACTCCTATGTTTCTATGTATAACAGCTAAGATATGGAAACAACCTAACTGCCCCCCAGACAGATGAATATATTGATCAAGAAAATAAGGTATATTGCACAATGGAATACTCAAGTGATCAAAAAAGATAAACACATTCACTTGCAACAACTTGTATGGAGCTGAAAGGGATCATGCTAAGTGAAATAAGCCAGGAGGAAAAAAAGAAATACTGAATGGTTTCACTTATAAGTGGAAACTGAAGAAGGGTCAGGAAAAAGACAAAATTTGCAAATGACCATAGATCTGAGGAACAGGGGAGGGGGAGCGAAAGGGGTCAAAAAAGGGGAGGGAAGAACACAAGGGCCTATGGTGATGATTACCAGTGTGATGGTGGTAGGAGACTATGGGGATTACACCTGAGGGGGAAATCAGATGTTGTACAAAAATAAACGATGTAAGAAAATAAATAAATTTAAATTTAAAAAAAATTGAACTTTATAATGAACTTAGGTTCAGATCTCAGCATTTCACTTACATGTTGTAGGTCTTACATAAGTGGTTAATCTCTATAAATCTCAGAATCTTCACCTGTAAATGGTGATAATCATTCTCACCTAAACATGTTTGAAAGAACTAAATGCCACACTGTGGTAAAGCACATATCACAGTTCCTAGTGTATACTAAGTGTTCAATAAAAATTAGGGATGGGGCCTAACGGGTAAAAGGGTTAAAGGGTAGCACTATCAAGCTCTCCTCAGCCACTGCAGCATAAGTTCATTCCAGGCCAGGGAACTGACCCACATGCCACAGCAGACCTCTGCTGTCTCTTCCACTGGCTGCTTCCCCTCAGCAGTGTATTTTAGTAAATCTACCTGTTTGCTCCCCATTCTGCCTGGTGAATCATCTCATTCCTGCACCTCTGGCCTATACCCCAGTTTTTGTATGCATAAATAAATATTTTAAAAACTTTTAAAACAGACTCCATATTTTTTTGCACATACTGAATTATTTTTATTTAAAAAAATGAAACAAAATTCAAAGATTAAATTTATGTTATGCTTAAAAAATTCATTTGTTTGCAGCTATTGCTAATTCTCATCATGAACAAAAAATGAACCAAAAGTGGATTTATAAGCATAACCTTCCCAACAAAAATCCATTCTAGCAAAATAGAAATACCCTTTCCTTCACTTTTGACTTTTATTGTATTATAATATAGAAGATTACTTTTAAGAAAGTCTTATAAGGTTTCTTCACTTTTTCCCCATAGACATCTCTTTACTATTTAGAGATATTAAAAATATTACTAATTTTTAATTGAAAGTAATTCCATTTTGAAGAGACTTGATCAGCAACCTTCTTATTTACTTTCCTCCCATTTTTTACTGGAGTGACTCATCAGGTCTTCATTTGTCAAAAAAAAAAAAAAAAATCATCCCTCACACTTTTCAACATCACTTGCAACCATTTTGTGAGCTTCTGGAGCAAGATAAGTACTGCACTGTGGATTGAATGTGATTCAATATACATTGTCTTTTCACATGTTTATAATGTTGATGAAACTGACTAGATACTAACCAATAAAGATGTTAAAATACTGGGCCCACCTCACTGCTGATATCCTACAGCAAGTAATGTGTGAGCAGGATTTAATTTACTTAGTGGTCAACTCATTGGGAATAGTTGCATATCCTATGACTTTGATTTTTGTATCTCCCAGACAACTGTAGACACTGGGTAATACATTTTGTCTAGCAAATACCACTTTTACCTACTATTGGCTTTTCTTTCAAGAGTCCACCTACAGGACTTTTGTCCTTTCTACCTCTCTCCTTTCTTACTGCCTGGAGTTCTGCAGCTTCCTTTCCATTAAATTAATTCTGCATTGCTAAAGTCCAGACAATGATCTCACAGAAACAGACCTTTCCACACCTTCAGAGGAGTCCATTTGGGTTTACTTCAACTTTTACACATTAAGCTTCTCAGGACATTTAAGGTTTATAATTTTGGCCAGAACTGTAGTTCCAAGTCAAATATGTGTTCTAAGAGCAAATAATATGGGTTTTAGTTAACGTTTAAAATCACATGGTAATATCAATGTCTTTCTATGTGTCTCAACAACAACAGAACAACTAGTGTTGAAGCCTCCCTCTTAAGTGAGGATGTGAACAGTCACAAGTTTATAATTTAAGAAAAGAAAATATTGTTGCTTATTGTGGCCATGTAGGCATGTTTAAAACTTTATTTTTTAATTTTTAAGTTTTGAAATGTAGCTTAGTTCTAAGAATGCTGGCAATGAAAACTTCCAATTATTACCGGAATGTGAGTTGAGTAATATTTTCACTTTATAATTTAATACTGTGACTTCCTAGTAAAATATCATCTAAAGCTGTTAGATATCATATTTTTGCAATGTGTGCAAAATAAACAATCATTTATTTTCCCCTTCACTGTTTTAAAGCAACTTTTATTGGTTTGAGGGTGTAGGTCTCAGGACATTGCCAAATTCTGTAATCCTTTTTTTTTTTTTCAATGTCATACAGGGTGTGGTGCTTTTAGAAAATTTTCAAAAAGTTGTTATTGTTGGTGCTTTTTTTTTAAAATCACTTTTTAAAAAATAGTGAGATGTCTAAACCCCACAAGAAATCCCAGTTCTAATGATTGTCTCATGGGTTCCCAACAATTAAAAGTCAGATTATTTACTGTAAGTTTTTACTTATTTCTTTGCCAGGAGTATTTATGTTCTTTATGTTGTAAGCTCTTTATTAGAAATGAAATCTTGATAAGAGCTATTTTAATGCTTAAGGTTTTTGTTTGTTTGATCGTACTTAGAAAGATGAAAGCAATTTGGAAAGAACCACACAAATGTGGCATTTAAACTCAGCTATATCCCTTTTTGGTGGTGTGATTGTTGAAAATCTCAACAGATCCTTTTTGTTCTTGCTTTTCTTTTATTAATCCATTGTTTATGGGAAAACTCAACAAACTTAACAAACAAAATAAAGGTCTTGAACTATTTTTTCTATAATTAAAAAGGCAAGTTTTCATTACACAAGTTTGAAATTGTTCTCAGAAAACCAAATTCTCTGTAAATCTTAGTTCATCAGCACTACACAAAGAAATTGTTTGAAAAGATTTTTTTTTCTGAATAGAGACACCAGCAAACCACACCATTTTCAGAGCACAAAATGGGCTGTTGACATCTGATGATTCACATTCTGTTTCATTTGTTTTTCACATAGCTAATGGCAATACACTTACAAATGACTTTGCTGAAAATGCATTTGTAAGAACCATCATATAATGTTGATGCAAGGGAACAGGTCTATTTAGTGCGTTTTTCTTCAGAAAAAAAGATCACATATTAATCTCATTTATTAAATTATGGCACTTTCGCCCAGTAATAAAAACTCACATGTTCTCAAAAAAGAAAAAAAAGAGAGAGAAAGAAAGAAAAGAAATCACTGAAATGATATCCTTAATCTCATACAGCGGTAATCATAGAAAAGAATCTGTTGAGATTGTGTGTGTGTGTGTGTGTGTGTGTGTGTGTGTGTGTAAAGTAAGATAACAGGGGGAGGAGTTAAAATATGACAGAATGCAACTTCTTGCCTTCGATCTGGGTGTTTTAGGCCAGAAATAAAGAAGGAACCCTAGGTTTTCCAGCAACCAGTGAACGCTAATACTTTTTATTAAAAAGCAGCTAGAGAAAAAACCAAGCGAATCAAGAACCCCCACCCTGAATGTTCTGTGGGTCGGGTGAGCCCTAACCCACCGGGGTACCACTCCGCGGGGTCTCCATTTCGTCCTTCTCCCCATCACAAGCGCAGGCTGGGTGTGACAGGGGTTGTGGGTCCCGGGATGCCAAGGAGGTGAC